CAGTGAGTGAAAAGATGTAGGCTTGTATAGAGCATTAGCCGATGCAAACCATACGTCGTGCGTATTCTCGCTATGGATCGCAAAATAGCCGTTGCCATCGCCGTAATTTGGATCGATCTCGTCCGCGGTTTTCACCCATGGGTCTGGATCATCATGAAAGAGACCCAGATTCCAGGCGATATTCCCGGCGATGATCGTATTTACGAACGTCGCGGCGTTGTCATTCGTTGGTATGTAATATCTATCGTCAATGTCACCAAGAATACCACCGACGACAAACACACCACCACCTTGGTACCCGGCTTCGTTATCGGTTACGGTGGCGTTGATCAGCTCAAGATGCTCAGTATTGGAGATGAAAATTCCGCCGCCCGCGATTCCGGCTTGATTCCCTGATATCGTCGAGTTCTCGATGCGAAGCCGATGCATTGACTCAGCAGCAATTCCTCCACCGAAGCCGCCGTCGTACTGCAGGTCGTTGAAAAGCCCATTGTCTGGGTCGGCAAGCAAGCTTAAGTCAGTGACAGGGCCTCCGTCCCGCGAGTCTCCTATCTGACGGTTGTCAGAGATTGTGCTATTCGTAATGTATACATCAAGTGGACCCCGTAGATTTAATCCTGCGCCACCAAAACCGGAGGTCTGAGCGTCTCCGGCACCGTAATAGGTGCGGTTGTTTGAAATAGTCGACCCGTCAATCGTGACCTGAAACGGCAGGACTTCACGCACGCTGAAGTGCACGAGCTTGTCTTGTTCAGGAGGCAATTCATCGTAGTTTTCGCCCGGCTCTTCGGGTTCGGGTGTGACACTGGTTGGTGCGAATACAGCTAAGGCGCTACCTCTGTCTACGCCGCGTATTACACTGTCCCGAATCAGTATTGATCCAGGGAAAGCGAACGGGAATGCGGGCGTTTCCGTAAAGCTCGCGGCGGCTCTTATCGCGTTGTCGCCCTGAATATTGAAAATGGTGCTCTGGATGAGTTCCAGTTTACCCCACAGGTCGACGTCGATCACGGGCCCGCGGAGGCCTTGGAAAACGGAATCAGTGATCGTTAGCTGGCTCGCCTTCGCCAGGACTGCGGTGCTTCCGGAGCCCACGTCGAGTCCTTCTGGAGGCAGAAAGCGACTGTCATCGATGACCACGTCCGACCATAACACGGCTACGGCGGCGCCGGCCGTCGATGCGTGGTGCACCGTCAGATTCTGCGCCGACACGTTGGCGTTCAGAAACACAAACGATCCTGCTGGGTAGCGGATAAAGCCGTCCCCACCCGCAGCGAGTTCCTTAAGTCCTTCCGGCTTTTCTCGCGGCTCGACTACCATAAGCCCGATCGAGTCGACCATCGTGACGTTGTTGATGACGACCGTGTTCTTTTTGTTCAGGCCGTCAAGCAGTGACGAGACCGCATCGAGGTCAAATTCTCCTCCGACATCGATGTCCAAGCCGCCGCTCCCAGAATGGGCGCCTTCCTGATTGAGCGTGCCTGAGATCGGCAACCATTCCGTGGCGAGATCGCCGTCAAACACCACTCGGATCTTGAAGGAGGGGACTGTCGCCGAACCGTCGTGCTTGAACCTGATGCTTTCGTATTCCCCCGGAAGAACTGACAGGAGGTGTGGCCGCTCTTCCGGCGCAATCTGGTTGTTGGGGTCGGGCAAATAGAGGAACCCACCCCTTACCTCGGAGATCTCGTATCGCGCGACGTCGCCACGTCGGATGCTTGAGGGGAATTTTGTCTGATCTGCAAAGTAGAGCGTATCGACGGCGATCCCGCGGCTCGTATCGAACTCGACATCGTTGATCGTGACCGTGATAGGCAGGCCACGCCGCTCGTTGGTCGAGTAGATGCCGCCCAGCCCGAGGTTGTTGTCGTTGGTCGGAACGCCGATCGCGAGCCCCGATGTGATGTCATCCTTGTCGATGGGCGTGGTCTCGAAGCGGCTGCCCTCGATGATGAGGTTGCCCATCGTGTAGATGTCGCCAGCGAAGATCTCGCCAAGGTCTAAGAAGCTGTGGACGCCAACGAGGCTGCCGGT